AAAGACCACTGATTGCAGATCACCATAACAGATATAATAATAATAAAAAGTTTGGAATATTTTAAGAATTGCCAAAATGTGACACAGAGACACAAAATGAGCACTTGCTGTTAGAAAAATGGCACCAACAGACTTGTTCAACAGAGTTGCCATAAGCTTTCAATTTGCAAAAAATTTAATATCTGCAAAGCACAACAAAACAAAGTACAATAAAATGAGGTATGCCTGTAATTTAAAAATATTTAACATAGAATCTTAGGACAGTATATATTACCATATACTGTTTCTTTGTAATCCTGATCTTAGTAATCTGTGGCTTGTTTTTTCCTTAATGAATGTGAAAATGCAGGAACACAGCCTTTTTTTTTTTTTTTTTTAGACGAGGTTTTGCTCTGTCACCCAGGATGGAGTGCAGTGGCACAATCATGGCTCACTGCAGCCTTGACCTCCCAGGCTCAAGCAATCCTCCTGCCTTGGCCTACCAAATAGCTAGGACCATAGGCATGTGCCATCATGCCTGGCTGATTGTTTTACTTTTTGTAGAGACGGAGTCTTTCTGTATTGCCCAGGCTGGTCTTGAACTCCTGGCCTCAAGTGATTCTCCTGACTTGGCCTCCCAAAATGCTGGGATTACAGGTGTGAGCTATTGCACTTGGCCTCTTTTTTTTTTTAATTAAAAAAAAGTTAAATGGCAGGTAAAAATTATCTATATTTATGGCATACAAGATGATGTTTTGATATATCTATAGATTGTGAAATGGCTAAATCAAGTTATTTAACGTTTGTATTACCTCACATACCATTTTTTAAATGGTGAGAACACTTAAAATCCATTCTCTTAGGAATTTTCAACATAATACATTGTTATTAACTATAGTCACCATGGGATACAGTAGATCTCTTGTATTTATTGTTCCTGTCTAATTGAAAATTTGTGTCCCTTGAAACATCTATTCTTCCCACCCCCAGCCTCTGGTACCACCTTTTTACCCTGTTTCCATGAAGAAATATATTCTTTAAGGTCTTAGAATTCAGGAAACATTTTGGTGAGCATTGAAGGCCATTTAATGCCACTTTAGAAAAAAAATCTAGTTATAACTGTTTCCTTTCTTTTTTTTTTCTTTTTCTTTTTTTTTTTTTTTTGAGATGGAGTCTTGCTATCTTGCCCAGACTGGAGTGCTGTGGCTTGATCTTGGCTCACTGCAAGCTCCGCCTCCCAGGTTCACAACATTCTCCTGCCTCAGCCTCCCAAGTAGCTGGGACTACAGGCGCCCGTCACCACGCCCGGCTAATTTTTTTGTATTTTTTTTTTTTAATAGAGATGGGGTTTCACAGTGTTAGCCAGGATGGTCACGATCTCCTGACCTCGTGATCTGCCCGCCTCGGCCTCCCAAAGGGCTGGGATTACAGGTGTGAGCCACCGCGCCCGGCCCCTCTTTTTTATTAATTGCAAAATTCTATAGCAACATGAATCAAGTTTCTGTTTTGTTTGAAGAGAATCATTCTATTGGGCTGTTTCAGCAATAGCAGCTCATTTTGGACTCAATATTCTGGAAAGCAAATATGCCTTAACTATGCATAAATTAGTCTTACATGTGCTTAGTTTTTGCCCTTTGATCCTTCACAATTTTGAGACATTTGAATTTCTTAATAATATCAAAAAGTCTCAAAGTACTAGCTAGAATGATGGCAAAATTCAGAGGTATATGTCTTTGTGTTTGCCCCTGAATCTTCAACAATCTGTCATATTTAAGTACAAGTTCTACAAGTTGCCTTTAAATAATGAATCACAGCTATTAGTAGAGCATGCATGGCTTTGTCTAGTTCTAAAAATGTTAAAGAATGGAATATAAGATATAGACTGACATATGCTTGATTACAGTTAGTCTACTATATTTAAATATACTGCAGTGTATTCATTTACTAGGTGAATTATTTTCCTTCAAAGTGGTCTTTTTTTTTTTTTTGCTCTGTCTCCAGGCTGGAGTGCAGTGGCACGTTCTCAGTTCACTGCAACCTCCGTCTCCCGGGTTCAAGCAATTCTTCTGCCTCAGCCTCCAGAGTAGCTGGGACTACAGGCATGCACCATCAAGCCCGGCTAATTTTTTTGTATTTTTAGTAGAGACGGAGTTTCACCATGTTGGCCAGGATGGTCTTGATCTTTTGACCTCATGAGCTGCCTGCCTCGGCCTCCCCAAGTGCTGGTATTACAGGCGTGAGCCACCGCGCCTGGCCCCAAAGTAATCTTCTTTTTCATCCTTTTTTTTTTTTTTTTAAATTATACTTTATGTTCTTAAGAGACTATTCTAATTCCAGGAGAGATGCTGTAAATATTACTGGCATTAATTCAGAAATGTCTTTAAGGAGTTTCCTAGATGTATATAAAAATAAGTAAATTATTTTTAGTCACAGGTCTTTCTATTTTTTTATCTCCTATCTTTTTCACCTTCCTTTGCACTTTGTCCTAGATCTCCTTTCCCTTTTCCTTTGTCTCTTATCCAATAGCTCATGTGCCTCCCGAGAGAGACTGTGTTAGTACTTAAATATAGGTATTTGATTCTGGGCAGAAGGACTTTTTAGGGTGGAAGGTGAGCATAAGACTAGAATCTAATTTATGGCTCATAATCAGATGTGTGTTAAGTCACCAATGAAGGGCAGACCTAACAGACTCTTAGAATGAATCCTTAGGACCTAGAAAAGGATGTACTTTTCTCCTCCATTGCCATTACCTTTTGATCTGGCTGATTCATCATAAACAAAATCTTCTGTAGAGCTCCTAGCTAGGCACACTTCTAGCAACTACAGAAAATACAAAAAAGCACATAAGCTGGTTGTAGAGGACCAGAGCATTTCCCTCTTACTGTACTGTATACTTCTTTTATTTTTCCCTTTCCTATGGTGCTGAATTGTACTAAGTACTTTAAAATCTCCATTTTAATTTATTTATATAGGATCCTGCTGGCCACTTTCATCAAGTATGGTATGATAACCCTCAGAGTATTTCTTTAAAGGCAACATATATACAAAACTATGGCTTACGGGGCATCGGCATGTGGAATGCAAACTGTCTTGACTACTCTGGAGATGCTGTAGCCAAACAGCAAACTGAAGAAATGTGGGAAGTCTTAAAGCCAAAGCTGTTACAAAGATGAACATCTTTTGTCAAACCATTAAGATTTAGAAAAATGATCTGTATAAATAGATCTAGTTTCTTGCATTTTTGTTATGTTGCTATATACTTTTGTTATTGGTATACTAAAAAAAGAATAAAGAAATGTTGATTGTTTGAATTCGAAAAATACATACGAATGTCATCAGTATCCAGGAATAAAAAGGCAAGAAACAAGTCAACTTACCTGTTAAGTATTCCTCTATTAGATGTTTCAACACTATAATTTAATTGGGAAAAATTGCTTTCAGAATTTTATTATGCCATATTTCCCTTCATTATAGTAAAATATATGCTTATGAATCAATGCTGATTTTTAAAATATGTATAATCTGAAGTGGAAATTGTTTGCTTAGAGTTTTTAAAAACCTAGTCTTTGAAAAGCAGTTTATGCTATACTTTTCCCCCAACCCTCCAATAAATCTTAAATTTAAAACCTACAATTTAGTGTCTCCTCTTTAGGTTCATCAAACTGATGAAAATAATTTTTCTGCTTCCTGACCCCATATAGTATTTATGTTCTCTGAGGTACTTGAACTAAACCTTTGGACAGTGAGTGAGAATTAAAAAGAATCCAGAAGATTAAATGTATTCACAAAATACAAGAATATAACAGTAATATTTTGAATTGGTAAGTTAGAACTACCTAATATTTTCCAACTACATTATTTTTATGAGGTTCATCTGTAAAATTTTTATAATAGGAATAACTTTCAGTTGAACTTGATTCTATTCACTTTCACACTTCTAATTATTCATATTCCTTCATTTATGGACATGTATAATTTATTTCTTGGCTAGCTTTCTTTACAAGGTTAAATTTTTCTTTCTACATCTGCAATGTATCTTTTTTATTTTTATTTTTTGTCGAGACAGGGTCTTGCTATGTTGCCCAGGCGGGTCTCCAACTCCTGGGCTCAAGCACTCATCCTGCCTTGGCTTCCCAAAGAACTGGGATTACAGGCATGAACTGCATTGTATTTTTAATGATCTAAAGACAATGATTAGCTTCTCAACTAGTTCTCTTTCTAAAAGATCACTTTTATACAAATAACTTTTCTAAATGTAATAAAGTCCGTTTTCTTTCTCCAGGGAATTAACAACGTTGTGCTGCCCTTATTAGTTCCTAATTACAGATTAAAAATCTGTATCTTTGAACTCTAGATTTACATAAATCCTGGCTTCCCTGCACATTTTCCCCCTGTAAATTGGAATAAATGATGATTGAACCATCTGTTATGAGAATATTACATTTCCTATTTACACAATTGTTTGTGACAGAGTAAAATCAACCATTTTCATACTATATGTTGGACCACTGTTGTCTTCATATTTCTAAAATAAATGAATTAAAAAATTTAAATTCTTAGATGCTTATCTTTATCATAGCTCAGAATGCAAGTTCAATACCCCCTATTCTTTTGTATTTCCAGATTTCTTTTAATTAAGATATAGTGAACAAATTAAGTTAAATGAAGTCTGTATTTTCATGCAAATATATTAGTATTCATTAATACACATTTATTCTTTGCAAATAGATTTTATAGTTATATTAGCTCTTACATTTTAAGATTATTAAAAATGAAAATTATAAAATTAGCACTCTAAAATAATATGCAAAATACTTGGAATGTTAAAAATAACCAGTCATCATTTCGCTTTATATTGCATCTAATATTTCCTGAAACATTTTATAACACCCACATGGAAAGTGCAGAAAGAGAAACCTTGTGCTTTATATAAAACATTGCCAAGGAGAATAACGGTTAAACAAATCTGTTCAAATAAATATTTAAATTTTTTGATAAATAAAAGTTTTAAATTCACATACCTAATTGAGATTGTAGAGATGTATTATTTTTTTTTTCTGTGCCAGTTCAGTTTTCAATGTTCGTAAATCTGAAACTGCTTGTTTTCTCATCTATAAAAAGAATTACTTTTCAAAAATGAACTTCATCATACTCTTCTAAAAGTACATCATAATTGTCATGTAAATAGGGTTTTTGTAACTGCTTTAACTATCTTCTCTCATTTGGCTTCAGTGGTTTGACTTCCACTGGATTACTACAGTAAATGTGTAATTATGAATGCTGTTTAATAAGCATGCCTATCTACTGACTAGATATGCTATAAGATAACCTTGTTTATGAGTATATAGGGACAATACAATTGAATTGTTCTAAAAAATAGAGAAAGAATTTTATGTTTTGTTTAAACTTCAAAACCTGTTGTTCTCAATGTATAAAGAAAATAGTGAAAACAACAAGAAAACAAAATACAAAAAAGCTTAATTTCTAGCCCTTAGGAACTGAAGAGATATTTAAGAAATATACTGTTTACTCTGTGGCAAGCACTCATTCTAAGTGTATTAGTCTATTTTTTTTTCAAAAATTGTATAGAATCAGATACTTATTAGTATTTATCCCAATTTTACAGTTGAAATGGAGGCCTTTAGAGGCTAAGTAACTTGCTCAAGATAAAAAACTAGTAAGTGAAGTGGGTACAGCCAGGATTCAAACTCAGACCACCTGGTACCAGAGCCCTTACTATTCTAAGTGTTGTCAGTGGACAGCAGCATTAGCATCAGTTGGGAGCTTGTTAGGTAGGAAGAATCTCAGGCTGCACCCAGACCTACTGAGTCAGATCCTGCATTTTCAAACAGGATCTTCAGATGATATCATATTAAACTTTGAGAAGCACTACTTATGCTGTACTATCTTGAATAAATATGGTTGCAAGAGACTCAGGCTAGGGTTTTTTTTGTCCCTTAGTTCTGAATCTTATAGGTAGGGCTGTTTTAGGGAGCTCATTCAGAAATCAATAAAACTTCTTATATAATGTCTATGTGTCAATCAGGCACTATGGTTAAATATAGGATTTTCCCCCCCAGCCTATAAGCTGAAAACTTTGTTCTCTTTTTTTTCTCTTATTCCACTTGTCTTTACTGTTTTTGTATGAACAATTCTAATTTGGGTTCAAACCATGAGTGACATCTGTAATGTTAAAATATACAAAGATTATAAGTAATGCACATGCTTTCCAGAAGAAAATGGCATGAGGGGAGTCATAATCCAAGCCTCTGGGGGCATTTTATTACTTCTTCCTACCTACCGAATTATTCTTGTGTACAAGTTTACATATTAGTTTTTATCTCCATATATGGAATAGACACAGTTTTCCTTCATTGAACAAATTACTTTTTTGAATGCAAATTTAACTGATATTTTGTTAAAAATTATTCTCTGCTCTTTTCCTTTTCTATTTTAAGTTTTAAGCTTCTCAGTGCCAAACCAGGGCTTATTTAGCCTCGAGAATGCTGCTTGTAAAAAGAATCTAGAACTGCACTGTCCAGTATAGTAGAAGCCAGTTGCCATATGTAACTACTAAACGTAAATAAAATTAAAAATTCAGTTCCTCAGTCACACAAACTACATTTCAAGTGCCCAATATCAGTAGGTGGCTAGTGGCTACCAATCTGACAGTGCAGGCATAGAACATTTCTATCATCACATAAGTGCTATTGGACAGTGCTAATTCTATTTTTTTTATTTTTAAATCTTCTTTATTTTTATTTTTATTGGAAACCCAGGACAGTACTGATTTTCTTTTTTCTCTTTTAAAATTTTTTAAAAAGAGATAATTCTAGAATGGAGTCATTATCCTGTGTCATAAAGCTGTTTCTGATAGAGAAATGAGAGCATGCATATAATTATCGTTCTTATTTTCCTGCCTTCCTATGGGTACTTGTGTGAAAATGTATAATCTTCTTCTGTTTTCTGTTCAACAAAAAAGCTTTTTAATACATCAGTACTTTACAGATAATTTATATGATGTAATTAGTTGTACACAATTCTCACCAAATAAAGCATGCCCAGAAGCCTCTACTAAGCATCTGTTATACAAAAGGTCCCACGGGAGAAACAAAGTTAACTAAGGCATAGTTTCTGCCCGGAAGGAAACTTAACATCTAGTAGAAGTCACATTATTCATATTTAAATAATATAATACATGTGAAAATAACCAGAAAAAATTAAATGATTACCCATGAAAAATTAAATGTCAGTTCAGAGAAGAGCTCAGTGGTTTATCAGACTTAATAATTCTAATACAGGAAAACTACTTAAAATTTTTTTAAAGAATATATTGACTCACAGATTCTTTTTCCTTTAATTCTTCCTAGTAAAATTCTATTAAATTTTACTTTGGCCTTATTATATCATGCATCTTTTCACAGGATTTAGTTTTGCTTCTTGCATTGTTTTTCACCCATGCTCTTTATTGTTCAGATAACTATTTTAAGACAATCAATCCTTGCTACCCTTATATTATTGACACCCAAAGTTAAAACACCAAAATATTTTATTTCAAGATAAATGTTATAATAATTTGATTAGGAAAAATGTAAATTACCTTAACTTCTACTGTGAGTTTCATTTTGTCAGTATGCAGTTTTCTCTTAAGTTGGTCAATTGCATGCTGTACCTCAGTGATCTGGATTATCAGATAATTCTGTGTGCATAGATAGACATTTATTTAGTATAACATATAAACATTTTTATTTTTAACTGCCTTGGGAACATAAACTATGAAATGATAAATATCAAAAGAGTAAATCATGAAAATAACCTATTCCATAAAGTAAACTAAATTGCTTTGGAGAAATTACTATTTGTTTTTGTTGATTTACCGAATTTTAGAGAACACTTTCTCTAAAGTTACCATTAAATTAGCACCATAAAAACCAACAACTATTACTATGAAAGGAATACTATGAAAGGAATATCTTAGATATTAGCAAGACTTTAGAAATTGGCATAATGCTTTATCAGCTGAATCAGATTAGAATTATTTTAAAATACTTATTAATATGATACTATATTTTATATGCAAGAACTCATTCAATACAAGAAAACCTATTTAAAATAAGAAGACTTTTTGGTTTTTGTCCAGAAAAGTTTATGAGTTATAGTGGTCCTCTCTAAAGAAGTTATTTAAGAGTTTTAAACTGGCTTTGTGAAAAAATTCTTATATTGAACTGATAAAACAGTAAGATAAAGTATAAGGTATGCTAAAAAAAAGTACTAACTACTATGGACAAACCATTACTTGAGCCTATTTGGATTTTATATTAAATTCATTTAAAATAGTAAACTTTTAATATTTCATCTTTTCTAAAGTTAAATCCTTACTTTTAATCATAGTTAACATATTTTAAAATCGCTTTTGGATAAGTGGGATTGATCTAACCCAAATCAAATTGTTAAATGCCCTCTTGAATTTTTTTGTCTGTTGTTTAATTATATGGTGGAATAATAAAATAAACTTCATGTCTCTGATTCAAGGCTGTCTCAAAAAAAAGAACTGAACAAAATTTCATAATTTCTTTAAATTCCTGTGTGTTATAAGTCCTCCCGCCGCCACTACCAAACAACAGGATTATAGCAGATGCTGTTTGTCCCCTGCCCTAATTCATCAGGTATTCGCCTCTTTCCCATAGTGTCAGGAAATGAACCCTGTCTCAGATACAGAGGTAAATCCTAATTAGTCTAAGTCAGTCAGCATATAGCATTGCTTGGCAACTATTTCTCATCCAGGGGTAGGCCTAGTTGATCCCTTACCTAGGATAAAGGGAAAGATTTATATATTCCATGATTCAGAGAGAGGTTTCTCCCTTGTTTGGGGATATAAAGCCCTACTCGCCATTGACCACTCTATTGCTACCATTGGAAAAAGCAGTCTTACAATGAAATTAACACTGAAAATAATAGGTAGGAAATATCAGGCCCCCTTAAAGGCAACATTAAGCTGCTGACTGTATCTCCTCAGCAATCCTCCTCCTATTACATAAGGTCATGAGTTTTTTTTTATTGTTTAAAGCAAGTTTAAGTCAAAGTCAGCCCAATGCATCTTGTGATATTACTAGCACTTACAAAGCATGTGTTTTGAACAGAACTTCTCTAATTGAAGGGGGACACATTTAGTAATACCTTGGAGTCTGTGATGTTTGCCAGATTCTTTGGTCTCATCTTGATCTCCCTGGCTTCAAGTTGCATGAGCAATTTTTTATAGTAGAGTTCCAAATCTTCTCGAAGTTTTGTTAAAACTTCCTCCACTGATGCTGTGACTTTCTTTGTTTCCAAGTATTTTTTCTTCCAACCGTCATAGGCTATATATTAAAAAAAAAAAAAAGCAAAGGCTTTCATTTGAATATTAAAGGATTCAACTTTTCATCCTGGAAAGGACCCTAGAGCTAATGTCAATTTAAACCATTTTTCTCTTTCTCTCCTCTTCTCCTTTCTTTATATACTGAGGTCATTAGACCTGAGGAAGAAATGTTTTTTTGGATAATAAGAGAACTTATGTAGAAATATGGTAAAATATATATATATATAAAATAGTAATATACATTACTATAAAAGTAATATATGTAAAAGTAATACATTTAATAGTAATATATATTATAAAAGCAATATATTTACTTGTTATATATAGTAATATACAACAGATATATATATAAAACAATATAACATATATACATATAACATATATAACTATAAAAGTAATATGTATATGTTACTTTTTCCCATGATTATGGAAAACTAATCCAAAATTAATCATTAGAAATTAAACACTATCAGTTTAACAAATTGCATTGACACCAATGAGATTCTAAATACAAACTTAATAGGAACACAAAGTATATGCCAGTATACCAGAATCTGTTTAGTTTCTTTCTTTTAGATTATCATAGAAACAAAAATTTCAAATTTAAAAATTCTACTTTATAAGGTGATTTAATTAAAATTATATAGCTATATGGAACTTTAGCTCAAGATTTTGGCTATTTATCTCATGCTCTATTATCCAATCCCTTAGCAACTTCTACCAGTATTACTGCCAAAATACTTCTAGCATCTAGCACATTCCACTTTCTTCAATGCTATATCCTTAGTCAATATCATCTTTTACCAAGAAATCTGCATGCTCTTTCTAACTGGTCTGCTTTCATTCTTGCCCCTGTACAGGGTATTCTATACAAGGTATTCTATACTAAAATGTTTTTAAAAATCATATAAATCCCTAGCTCAAAATCTTCTAGTGGCTTCCTACCTTGCTTACAATAAAATCCAAAATCTTTGATTTGGCCCATCTATTCCTTGCTGACCTTTCTGATTTCATCCCCCTCTACATTTCTCCTTACATAGTGTTTCAGCAGCACTGGTCTTATTTCAGGCCCTTAATATATACCACAAGGTCACTGTTATTTCTTGACCTTGATATTTAGTGTTCCCTTTGTGCCTGCCTCCCTGTTAATCAAATCTTAATCTTCTCAGAGATATTTTCTCTGAAAATTCTACCTAAAGCATCTCTTCCCTGCCTCATCACTCTTTACTATGCTCTTTTTAATTGAATTCTCAGCTCTGATCAAAGCTAATATTGTCTTACTTATTTGTTTATTGTCTGTCTCTTCCCATAGGGAAGCAAGCTCCTTATGGTCATGGCCATGTCTGTCTTATTCACTGCTGTATCCCTAGCATTTAAAACAGTGCCTGGCATGTAGTAGGCTCAATAAATATTTTATGGCCAATACATACCTTTTATCTTGAAATATTTCTGTTGAAATAGGAAGTGATGGACCATTCCCATTTCATAAACAGAAAAGGTGAGGCACAAAGAGGGGAAATAACTTGTCTAAAAGACAGATTTGGTGTTACAATCCTGGTCCTGTGATTTTCAGTCCATTGTTCAAATCTGTCTGATAAAATTACTTGTTTAACACTACAACAAGGCTGACTCATTGCTACCACTTTCAGGATAACACATTGTAAGGCAGAATCTTGAGAAATATCTGCTGACACTGTCTATAACCTTCAGTCAGTTCTAGTGTTGAAACAATTTTGCTGTAAATTGAGAATCCTAAAACCACTTAATTCCATAGATACCTTTTATCCTTACAATCCTCAAACACAACCCAAAATGGAGGCCTCTCAAATCATTTAGCAACTCTCAAGGCACCATCATGTACTGTCTTCATCCTGCCTCATCAGTCCACCAGTCCTAAAAACACTGTTTCTAATTGTACTGCAAGAAAATTTACTTAACTTCCCTCATTCACTGACTTTTAAAAGCAAGACAGACACATACACATATCAAAAAATTAAGTACAGAAGAGTCCAAGGGACTCAAAGTAGTGTTCTACAGTAAGTAATATATAAGGTGCTCTTGAATGACTAATAGGAAATAGGCAGGTAAACTGGGAAGAGGGTACCTCAACGTAAGAGGAGAAGTAGATGGCAGAGGGAAAAGCATGCCCAAAGACCTAGAGCCAAGAAGCATACTTCAGATCCTAGCATATCCAACACTTTTCCTGGAAGACTCTCTTGATCTCTTCCGTCTAATTTAGGTGTTCTTCCTTTATATTCCTATCCATAGAACTTTGTAATTCCTTTATCATAGTGGCTGAGATCACGCCACTGCACTCTAGCCTGGACAACAGAGTCAGATAAAATAAAATAAAATTCCTATAATTTAACTTTTTTATTGTAGTAGAACATATCACATAACAAAATATATATATATATTTTTGGGGCAGAGTCTTGCTCTGTCACCCAGGCTGGAGTGCAGTGGCACAATCTCAGCTCACTGCAACTTCCGCCTCTGTGTTCAAGCATTCTCCTGCTTTAGCCTCTGCAATCACTGGAACTACAGGTGCCCACCACCACACCCGGCTAGGCTAATTTTTGTATTTTTGGTAGAGACGGAGTTTTGCCATGCTGGCCAGGCTGGTCTCGAACTTCTGACCTCAAATGATCTGCCTGCCTTGGCCTCCCAAAATTCTGGGATTACAGGCATGAGCCACTACTCTGGCAAGGATGTATCATTAATGCTTAACTTGCTTATCATTTCCCCACTGGACTGTAAGATCTATGTGGGCAGGGACAAGATTGTGTCTGTCTTAATAGTGTTTCCTAAGCCCCTAGAATAGTGGCCAGATTCAACAGGGGTTTGATAAATGAATAGAAGAATTAAGAAACAAGCAAATGAGTTTCAGTTATGAAAATATCTGTTTTAATTTTAAAACCCTATATAAAGCATTTATTGTATAGAGTTGAATAATAATTTCATGTTTTCTATATTGAACTTAATCATGTACCACTTAAACTAAAATAGTAAAACAGTAAATATTAATTATAAATTTATTTATTCTAAAAGGATTAATTCTGTAAAACTTAAGTTTTCTTTATAGTGATAAAAGGTATGTAATAAACTTTACCATGATATCGTTTTAATTTGCTTTGTTCAAATAGCTTTTCAACTGTTTTTACTAGTTCTTCTCTATTTCTTTCCAGATACCTTCTTTCTTCCTTTACTTGTTTCATTTGTTTGATAATCTTCTCTCCTAAAGAGATTATAACTCATATTCGTCAATGTCTCAAAGCTGAAAGATGGCTCATATCCTAAAATATGGAGTGTAAAACTTAAAAATGTCTAAAGCAGCAAGAATAAATTTTATCCCAAACTGTTTTGCTTGCTACAGTATAGCATTTACCATGTGGAAAATGCAAAGGAGTCATTTTAGTTTCCGAGAGTGATATATAAGGGGATTTATAAAATAGTGTGTTTTTTTCTGCATTTCATATATGTGTAGAAACTAGGTAAAGCTCAAGCAGTTATGCTGATATGCTTTGGTTTAACTCTTTTGGTAAATGTATCCGGGATTCAAAATTATTGTACTTAAATTGTACATAGAAAATATATATTTTAGGAAAAAAAATGGATGGAGTCTCACTTTGTTGCCCAGGCTGGAGTGTAGTGGTATGATATCGGCTCACTCCAACTTCCACCTCCTGGGTTCAAGCGATTCTCCTGCCTCAGCCTTCTGAGTAGCTGGGACTACAGGCACCTGCCACCACATCTAATTTTTTTTGTATTTTTAGTAGAGATGGGGTTTCACCATGTTGGCCAGGCTGGTCTCGAACTCCTGACCTTGTGATCCACCCATCTCAGCCTCCCAAAGTGCTGGGATTATAGGCATGAGCCACCATGCTCGGCCAGAATATATATTTTAAAATGAAATAATGTTAGTGACTAAACATATGTAGTAATAAATATAAAATTCCTGGGCCAGGTGCTATGGCTCATGCCTATAATCCCAGTATTTTGGGAGGCCAAGGCCGGTGGATCACTGGAGGCCAGGAGTTTGAGACCACCCTGGCCAACATAGTGAAACCCCATCTCTACTAAAAATACAAAAATTAGCCTAGCCAGGTGTGGTGGTGGGCACCTGTAGTCCCAGTGACCGCAGAGGCAAAGGGAGGAGAATGCTTGAACCCGGAGGCGAACGTTGCAGTGAGCCAAGATTGTGCCACTGTACTCTAGCCTGGGCAACACAGTCAAACTCTGTCTAAAAAAAATAAAAATAAAAATAAAATTCCTATAATTTAACTTTTTTATTGTAGTAGAACATATTACATAACAAAATTTACCATTTAAACTATTTTTAAATGTACAGTTCAGCTGCATTAAGTACATTCACATTGTTGTGAAACCATCACCACCACCACCCCATCTCCAGAACTTATCTTCTCAAACTGAAACTCTATACCCATTAAACAATAATTCCCCATTAACATTATTTACTTTACCTCACAGAATCATCTGTACTTATGATTGCACTATACTTACTTTCAGTTGGTAATAAAGAGATATCAATTATTCTTGAAGAAAGAACAGGTTGACAATGAAGTGAAGGGTGATCTGGTAGGGTGATGTACTCTTTTTCACCTATCTGTAAGCAAACATGAAATGAGTAAGATCGGCTAGACTGTCACATTCTTTTTTCACTTGCCCATTGGTATTTGATAATGCATTCTTTTTACGTAGTGGTGATGAACTCCAAATTTTGTATTTATAGTTACAGATTCTCTCCCATGTTCCAGTCTCTGTATTCTATTACTTGGACATTATATACAAGTACTTCAAACTTAAAATTTAAAAAAAACCTGTTATTTTTCTTTCTAAACATGATTTCCTTCCAAGATTTCTGGTCTCAGTTACCTGTTATGATAACTTTAAATATTTTCTAAGATGGCTACTGATACTGTTTTCATCTTGAGTCAATTTTGATTATATTTGCTTAGAAAATTGGTAGTTCTGTCACATGTCAAATTTTAGCAGATAATTTTACATTTTATTCTAATATATCTTATCTCCTCTGTGTTTGTGTTTCTATTGCCTCCATCTTTCCTAATTTTTGTGTTTCTACCTGATATGATTTGGATCTGTGTACCCATCCAAATATCCTGTCGAATTATAATCCCCAACTGTTGGAAGTGGGGCCTGGTGGTAGGTAATTGTATCGTGGGGGCAGATTTCCCCATTGATACTGTTCTCCTGATAGTGAATTTGTTCTCGTGAGATCTTGTTCTCGTGAGATCTGATCATTTACAAAGTGTGTGGCAACTCCCCCACCCCTTCCTCCTGCTCCAGCCTTGCTCCCCCTTTGCCTTCCACCATGACTGAAAGCTCCCTGAGGCCTCCCCAGAAACAGATGATGCCATGCTTCCTGTATAGCCTGCAGAACCATGAGCCAATTAGACCTCTTTTCTTTATAAATTACCCAGTCTCAGGTTTTTTTTTTTTTTTATAGCAGTGCGAGAACAGTCTAATATCTACCCTTTTCTGATAAATTACCTCAAGCCTTACCATGTTGATGTTTGTCCCACTATCACTTTATTGATCTTGAATTGTTTTTAATTATGCTTCTGTACCTCATTAGTTTTCACTTTTATCTTCATCAAGCTCTCACTTCTATTTTGTTTGTCTTACAATTAGTTCCCCGTTATCTGTAGTTTCACTTTCTGTGCTTTCAGTTACCCACAGTACAGTACAATAAGATATTTTTAGAGAGAGAGAGACCACAGTCACGTAACTTTTATAGTAGTATATTGTTATAATTGTTCTATTTTATTATTAGTTATTGTTTTTGTTACTGTTTACTGGGCCTACTTTATAAATTAAACTTTGTCATAGATATATATGTATAGGAAAAATACAGTATATATAGTATATAGAGAGTTAAGTTCTATCTGTGTTTTCAGGCATCCACGGGGAGTCTTGGAATGATAGATAAAGGGCAGAGTACTGCATTATTTTTCTAGCTTATTTATTTTGTTACGTTATAGAGTTGAGATCCCACAGGATAATGGCAGCCACCTATATTAGAATTGCTCCACAAATCTTCCAAACTACCATAAAAAGAAGCCAAGTAAAACCACCCAAATTTATGCCTACAACATAACTTGGGCACAGAATCCTTTACCTATAAGTGAGGAAATAAAGACTACTAGATCAGAGTGTGGTCAGGAGCCCACATCTGAGCAGAGAGTCAGATGTGACTATGTGTCAGCACTGTACATAAATAATAGGAAATACCAATCACGAATTAGTCTGGAAAGAGAGGGCTCTACCTGAAGTGGAAAAATAGAGCAAAAAACAAAAAAAACCTGGTAGATTCTATGAGGAATTCAAAAGAAAGGATTTGAAAAACACAGGGAGTCAGAGGCAGTAATCATGGGAAGACATAGTGTCTGGGAGAGAAGAAAATGCTTTGGAAGGGAGATATGTCCTTGGGAGCCAGTTTGGTAAGAAAAAATAAGAAAATAGCCAAGACAAAGCCAAGACAAGAGCTCCACTGAACTAAGCTAGTGGAAAAGAATCCAAAGAAAATACACCCATTTCCCCAAAAGGCCCCATTTACATAAAAAAAAAGAAACATAAATAGCTGCATTTCTAGGGAGGCCAAGGCAGGAACTCCTGAGGTCAGGAGTTCGAGACCAGCCTAGCCAACATGGTGAAACCCTATCTCTACAAAAATACAAAAATGAGCCGGGCATGGTTGTGGGTGCCTGTAATCCCAGCTACTCGGGAGGCTGAGGCAGAAGAGTCACTTGAACCTGGGAGGCGGAGGTTGCAGGGAGCTGAGATCGTGCCATTGTACTCTAGCCTGGGCAAGAGAGTGAGACTCCATCTCAAAAAAATTAAAATTAAAATTAAAAAAATAATAATAACTGCATTTCACTACAGTAACAGAAGAGGGTGCTCCTGATTTAAGAAACATAGTAAGCCACCAAAACACCACTCACTCCCTGTTCCTCTGTAAGAACACCTGTTATTACTGATAATGGAAAAATCCAATGCAAATAAACATGAACATCTGTAAAATAATCTAGCACTCACGCAGTTACTTATGAAGAAAACCTCAAAACTGAGCAGTAAATCAAAACAAACACAACCATGAAGCAGAGAAAAACTTAACAATGCTCCCAACATAGATTAAAAATAATTAACTAAGCATTTGCAGATATTAATGAACACTATAAAACAGAAATTTTAAAATTTGTAATAAAAATGGAAAACAATAGGAAGGTGTGAAATGAAAATTGACCAAACTCAAGAAATAAAGAAAAAGAAATTGTCTCAGAAATGAATAAATTAGCAGGTGTCCAAGATGGAACATATATGACCAAATATATAGTAAGAAAAACACAGAATAGAAATAAAAGGAGCCAAGAAAGTGAAACATAATGAAAAGAGTAAAATGGATCAGAATGAAAGTGGCAGATATAAAGGTAAACAAGATCTAAGATAAGACTAATTGTTACCCCTGAAAGAAAAACAAAACAAAACAAAACAATGAAACAGATCTATTTAAATTACAATTTTAGAAAACATCCTTGAAATAAAACAATGTCTGATTTCTGATTTTCATATTGAAAGGGCCCACTGTGTACCTAGAAAAATCTGACCTACAATTCTCAACTGAGATATAGCCTGCTAAAACTATTACACATTAAAGGAATTCTCTGACCTTCCAGGCAAAAATACTCAAGTCTGTTTACAAAGAAAAGAAAATCAAGTTGGCACACTTCTAAATAGTAACATATAAAGCAAGACATCAGTAGTGCAATATTTACAAGAAACTCAAGGGAAATAAGCCAAGGATTTTATAGCCATTCAAGCTATCCTTCAAGTAGTAAAGTATGAAGGCTCTAGAGCAGGCATTAGCACACTTTTTTTGTAAAGGGCCAGAGAGTAAATCAATATGTGTGGGCCACATATGGTTTCTGTCATATATTCCTCTTTTTTTCAACTCTTTAAAAACATAAAACACATTCCTAGCTCACAGGCCTTACTAAGCATGATGCAGACCATCATATTTGCCCATCCTTGCTTTAGAGAAAGTTTTAAATGTGCAAGAACTAAGGGAATATTGTGCTCAGGGTCTTTTCCTAGTGTAGGTTGAGTTTCATCCAACCAAGAAATCACTGAAAAATCTTCTGCAAAATAATTGGCAGTTAAGTGTTGAACATATTTAATTATAGTTCTGAGACTAAAACAAAAGTGAGGGGATAGGACTAAGTGAACCGTACAAAAATGTTATATTGCTTGACAAAGTAGAAATAACACAAACTGAAAATAAATGAGAAGAAAAGGGAGGGAAAAAGGTGAAAGTAGAACAAGTTTTCTGATTGCCTCAAATATAACAAGGAGGAGTCAGAGCATAATTTTAGAGGTACCAAATCAAAAGCAGAAGTATCAATTTTTAAAAAAGGAAAAAAGAGGGGCCCAAAATACTAGCATAAGTGTATTACTATAAAGGTAAATATTAAAACAAAAATACAAATCTTTCTAAATACGAGGACAAAAAAAAAAAAAACCCAAATAAATAGTAGAAGACACATAGTAAATATAAAATAAAATGACAAATCTGAGACTAAACATGTCATATTAATCATATAAATGGACATAGCTCATTTAACTAAATAAAAAAGACTTTCAGACTAGCTTACAAAGCAAAACCCAACTCTAGGCTGTACATAAGAGATTTATCTAAAACAAAGTGACTCAGAAAGGCAGATAAAAATGAGGGGAGTCGAGAATGGAGAATATCAAATAAATGCAAACAAAAAGAAAGCAGAGTATTTTGATATGCAGTAAGGAAGAATTCAGGCCAAAAAGGCATTAAATGAGCTAAAGAAAGATGCTTCATAATGCAAAAGTAATAATATTCACATAAGAACAACTTTGTGCCAAATAACATATAGAAACACATAAAGCAGAAACCACAGGAGGTATAAGCATAAATAGTAACACAGTAATAAAAGGAGATTCTAACATACCATTCGCAGTCCAAGACAGAGGGAATGTGGAAAAAATAAAGAATATGGAATACTTAATGTATTCAGCAAGGTAAATCATAGACAAGCCACAAAGTAGAGGGAGATATTTGCAACATACATAAATATCAAAGGACTATCTTCCAGAGCATATTAAAAACTCCTACTAACCAGAAATAAATGGCAGACAACCCAATAGAAATACTTAAAACAGGTAATCCCCCCCACGAAATGGTTATCAAAATGGGATCCATAAAATGTAAGGGTAACCAGGGAAATTAAAACATTCAAACCACAGTTAAATAGCATTAAGCATCCACCAGAGTGCAAAACATTTTAAAATGTGAAGACAGTATGTATTATTGAGGATGTAGAGTAACAGGAAATGTCTTGGATTCCTAGTGGCAGTGTAAATTTGTATAATCATTTTGGAATATATTTTGGCATTATTTAAGTTACAGATAGGCATTTTCCAGCAATTCTACACATAAGTATATATTCCCCTCTTGTTTGTGTGTGCTCTTTATAATAGGTAAAATTTGGAAACAATAAAAGTATCCAGCAACAATATAACAACAATTATTTGCTGAAGATGGTATGCCTTTGCTCC